GTCTTTTGGAAGAATGAATATTCACTAGAGCAATTGAAAGCTGTTGGTAGTGCCTTATAAGCTAAGTGAACCCCGTTCACGAAGACAGGGCTCGAAAAAGGTTAAGAACATAAAACGTCCCTATTCCGCTTGTATCAGGTTTACATTATTAATTTATTATTATTTATCCCTTCCCGCTTGGAAAAGGCTCACAATATATTTATACAAAAATACCCGATACAAGGGCTTCGCTCTCCTACATTTATTTAAAAAAATGTAGGGGGAGGTACACGGCCCCACACACGCCGTGCACGGTGAGTGCCAACCATTTTGATGCACTCCCCCCGAAGGGAAAGCTAATTCGGGAACTGGACCGTAGTCCACAGCAAAATAACTGGCGAACCAGTAAAAGAGGCTTGGCCCCTTGCTAGTGCGTAAGCACAAACATCGACCGAAGTCGCGCATGTCAATGCGTGTAAACGCCAAACAGAATACGAACGAATCCAGCCAGAGTGAATGTACGTCACACGGTTTAGGCAAATAGGCACACTGGCCGTAAACCCTCCGTGAGCGCCACCACCTGCCAGACCGCCGCTCCTGCAGACGTGATGTAAGTGTATGCCATCACCACCAATCGCATGATCAGCACGGCTACTAGCCGCAGAGCGTGTCATGAGTCTACTGCTCACCTCAAGGGAATGGGGTCCCACGTTGTGCGGCTTTCGGCCGCAGCCTTGAGAGTCTCCTCAGATCCTCCCGCCAGCTACCACCCGCATGAGGTCGACACATATGCTCCACCAACCAATACAACGGCAGATATATCCAAAAGGCAGTTATAAGATAAGAGTAATAATTCGCCATCAGAAAGGGTTTGTGTCACTGACGTTGAGTAAATGCATTTTCGATCATGTTTGTCTCACCCACCAACAAGTTGCCTTCAATCATTCAAAGGTGGGAAAGTTACAGAGATATAATATTATGTTGTTATATAAAACATCGTGGAGGGCAGACAGTCTGCAGCCCCGCAATGAAGGGACCCGACTTGGGCAAAGCTACTTAGGTGTGAGTCAAACCAAGACGCAGAGAGCGCCATTGAGAATAGCGTCCCACCAAACAACCATCGCAGAGAAGCAATGCTGCAGAACGCAACAAGCATCAATACGACTATCGTCGGGCTTACACCATCCCAAGGTCCCCTATACATCCCAGCAGACATCACCACCCGCATACCTCCATCGACCAGAACCACAAGAGAGCGTCGAATCAGGCGCAGCACACCCGCAGATCCATCACAAGACGCAATACCGCAAGTAGCAGTAAGCATCAAAGCAACTATCATACGGGTGGCGCCCCCCTCACAACACACCCACATGACTCCTATCGACTTTGGTAACAAAGTTGGTATTGTTGTTATATAAAAAATATCACCAACGTATCATAGTAGCACACTACTAAGACGCCAGTGGACAAAACTCCACGTATCATAGCGCTAATGCACTAAGACATGAAGTAGAGTATGACTGTTACACTTAAAAGTGCTACCAAACACACTCATCATCCCAATCCGAAAGATAGACGACGCATCGCTATGCGCTACGACGCCGCCCATAACCGGTATGGGTGTGCGATGTCCACGGGAAAGCCGTATTGCTACAACAAACCCGCTTACCACCAGCACTAAGATGTTAATTGTATACCTCCATCGACCAGAACCACAAGAATGCGTCGAATCAGGCGCAGCACACCCGCAGATCCATCACAAGACGCAATACCGCAAGTAGCAGTAAGCATCAAAGCAACTATCATACGGGTGGCGCCCCCTCACAACACACCCACATGACTCCTATCGACTTTGGTAACAAAGTTGGTATTGTTGTTATATAAAAAATATTACCAACGTATCATAGTAGCACACTACTAAGACGCCAGTGGACAAAACTCCACGTATCGTAGCGCTAATGCACTAAGACATGAAGTTGAGTATGACTGCTTACACTTAAAAGTGCTACCAAACACACTCATCATCCCCATCCGAAAGATAGACGACACATTGCTATGCGCAACTACGTCGCCCACAAACGGTATGGGTGTGCGATGTCCACGGGAAAGCCGTATTGCTACAACAAACCCGCTTACCACCAGCACTAAGATGTTAATTGTATACCTCCATCGACCAGAACCACAAGAATGCGTCGAATCAGGCGCAGCACACCCGCAGATCCATCACAAGACGCAATACCGCAAGTAGCAGTAAGCATCAATGCAACTATCATACGGGTGGCGCCCCTTCACAACACACCCAACATGATCCCTATCGACTTTGGTAACAAAGTTGGTATTGTTGTTATATAAAAAATATCACCAACGCATCATAGTAGCACGCTACTAAGACGCCAATGAATAAAACTCCACGTATCATAGCGCTAATGCACTAAGACATGAAGTTGAGTATGCCTGTTACACTTAAAAGTGCTACCAAACACACTCTTCATCCCCATCCGAAAGATAGACGACACATCGCTATGCGCAACGACGTCGCCCAAAACGGTATGGGTGTGCGATGTCCACGGGAAAGCCGTATTGCTACAACAAACCCGCTTACCACCGGCACTAAGATTGTTGTTATATAAAACTGCACTAACGTATCATAGTAGCACGCTACTAAGACGCCAGTGGACAAAACTCCATGTATCATAGCGCTAATGCACTAAGACATGAAGTTGAGTATGCCTGTTACACTTAAAAGTGCTACCAAACACACTCATCTTCCCAATCCGAAAGATAGACGACGCATCGCTATGCGCTACGACGCCGCCCATAACCGGTATGGGTGTGCGATGTCCACGGGAAAGCCGTATTGCTACAACAAACCCGCTTACCACCGGCACTAATATGATATGTCTAGGACACATCGGTTAGCGAGTCCAAGTTTACCTCGGACCAATTGCTCGTGAAGCAGCACACACGCCACCATAATATTCCTTTTCAAGTCCCTAATAAGGACTAGTCATTTTGCTACAGTACTAGGAGCAGTCGGTCACCCGACCACCCCATACAATGCTTATGCATCAAGGAGACCTTCAATAATAATGCTTTTGTATCATAGACCTTACTTTCATAAGTCATTCATATATATAGGGTTCGAACCCACAACCCTACTATTGTAATGCCTATTAATCATAGAGACCTTCTATAGTATTGCTTTTGTATCATAGACCTTACTTTCATAAGTCATTAATATATAGGGTTCGAACCCACGACCCTACTATTGTAATACAAATTCATCATGGAGACCTTCTATAGTATTGCTTTTGTATCATTGAGTTTAATATCATAAGTCCCTAATATAGGACTAGTCATTGTGCTACAGTACTTCAGGCAGTCGGGCTCCCGACCACCCCATATATATGTACAACTGCAGGTATGTACCTCCGACAGCTTCCTCCATACAAGACATCTATACGTGAACACCTTCCATAACTTAGGAAAATTTTCTTTAATACATGAACTACTTCAACAACTTAGGAAATTTCATCTATACGTGAACTCCTTCCACAACTTAGAAAAATTTTCTTTTATACACGAACACCTCCCATGATTTAAACAATTTTTAACAATTTTTCTAATTATCTTATAAACGTTATTTAACTTAATTTTATAATATTTTTTGACTTGTATTTCTATTATTTATCTTATTTTAAATATTTTTTTCAAGTTTTTAAATAAAATTTATTACGAAAAACAATAATTTTGCCTTTAATTTGCTATGTTATTGGGATAATGTCTGAAATATATTAACTTTATGTTTATTAATTTAACTTAATTGCTTAATATATATCTTTTAAGAGTATTTTTGACGCCCCTTTATATTGAATTTAATTATTAATAAATAATATTGGGCCGTCACAATATGTACTACAAATGCACAAAACCCGCTTTTCTTCATACATTCCATCATCCGGATTTTCGATTATCCGAATCCCTAACGGCAACAATTAGTCCGGTTAATCGAGTATATATACATATTGAGAATCTAAATTGAGAATTTAAACTATAGCACATTTAAAATATAGTCCACCTAGCAACACGATGCGCCCCGCACTGAATTCGTGGACGAATGCGGGGGTGATATAGACGCAGTATTTAATCGGGGCGCATTTTTAATTTATTATCATAAAAATAATACATATTTCTAAAAAGTAACCAAACCAAATTATTTTATTTTGTATTGCAAAGCAGTAGATATTTTTTTTATATTCCTTTGATAAACAATGAAGGAGTAAAGTGGTTTCATCTCAACGATTTGGAGGTGATTTGGGTATTTTTTTATTGATTATGTGACACCGATAGAAAAATTATGGCTAAACCAAATTACGTATCAGATCATGTAGATTACTAGCTATTTTTTTCATATGTAATTTCTCTGTAAGTGTCGACGAAAAGTTGGTTCATCTGCACGCTTTTTTCAAGCTTTTTGCGAGAGAGCAGCCTTAATAATAAATGCACTTTGTTCATTCATATTCAAAATTTCAAAACACTTTATACACAAACACCGTGTCGAAGACTGAGGAAAAGAAACGACGTTAGACCATCGTTAGACAATGCACGGCCTTCAAGCCACACCTCCGTGCCCGTCGGAGAGCGTGAGGTTTTTTTCGTTACGAAATTTCTGGATTTTCCCGCACTCAAGGCCCGCGATAGAAGCTATGCAATAGCTTAAAAATTTGGAGCTTTTTAATTTTTTTTATGATAATTAGGTGTTGCTGCTTTTTTCTTTTCTTGGTGTAAGTGAAATGGTGGGAATCGAATTATATTTTTGGATGTTTCCCTTGACCGAGCCCGAAAAACAAATAGGTTTGTTATGCTGTTATTATCTTTTTGTGCAGTTTACTCAACCTCAATAATAAAACAGTAGAAATTACTATTTGATTAAAATGTACCTATTTATTTTAATCGAACATATTATATAATGTTACATAAATATGTTTGATATTACATACATATTATACGTGATGTTGAATATGCAGATGTCAACGAATCAGAGTGGCAAAATATGTCATCGTAAGCTGAAAGTCTGTCATCTGGTGAAGTTAATGACACTTGAGGGCTCTGGAAAATTAGATTTAACATTGTATCTTTTTTGAAGTGAAGAAATCAAGACTAAGCAACACTACACTATACTACATATTCAACATTGTGCGGGGTGACACGGGGCATTATATTTTAATCCTCAGGATTGGCGACGCATATGCATCTTTAGCGGTTTGTTGTCCTTGAGATCGTAAATATCCATGGGCCACAGTTTACTTACGATCAGGTTGACTGTACGCTAGTTTGCCTTCTTCATGATATAAAAAGCTTACGTAACAAATACAGTGTGGTATTAAAGTTGACTTGGTGCCCTCGACCAATTGCCTTCTAATGTTTGCCAACACTTGAAAACAGAGGTCTGGAAATGATCTGAGCAAATGATACTATTTCTTGTAGAGACCAAGGTAAGCTCAAACATACAAAAGTATTTCAATATATCCCTTAAACTCTGATATTTATGAAACTGCAATAAATAAATAAAAAAACTAATGGTCGAAGCTTACATTTAGTAATTTTAATATAATGTATTCATACTCGTTAGTATTGAATTATATTTAATTTGATGCGAATTCAATATTAAACTCTATTATAATGAAGCCCACAATCCTATACATTTAAACGAGCAATTCTTGTATATATATATATATATATATTTTATATATATATTTATAATCGGAATCTCGGAAACGGCTCCAACGATTTTCATAAAATTTTGTGTGCAGGGAGTTTCGGGGGCAATAAATCGATGTAGCTAGGATTTATTTTTAGAAAATGTCTTTTTGTTCCGTGTTTTTAGGCAATGAAAAACTGCTACAATATCGTTAGAATAAGAAGGTAAATTTTGACTGTTTATTAATGATTACAAATAGCTTAATTGGTATATTGCCGGTCACAAAATTGTAATACCATGGTTCGAGCCCAGACCGACCGACCGACGTTTTTTTTTAATTTTTTTTTTCAAGTTCCTTTCTTTTTTTGAGAAAATCTATTTTTTCGTGCCCTTTTTTTAGTATTTTTTAAAAACACGAAAATTTAAATTAAACTAATTGCACTCATGATTTTTTATTCAAATAACCAGTTCAGTTTTTTCTATTATATCGCTACGATCAAAAAATATTATTCTTATTTCAACAGTATGTAAGTTAATCTAAATATAATTTCCAAAACACACGAATTAAAAAAACCGAGCAAAGCTCGGTCAACCGGGTACTATATACTAAATCAATCAATTAATCATGAAACATAATCTCGAAAACGATTTGTCATTTTAACGATAACTATTTACAGGTCACAATATAAAAAAGAAAGGTGGTGTCGGATTTATCGTCCACAAGTTTCTCGTTAACATCGTTGTAAAGACTGGGAGAGTGTCGACGATGGTTGCGTACCTTATACTCAAAATTACAAAACGGTATCCGCTGAAGGTCATACAGGTTTACGAACCAACCTCGACACACCCCGATGTGGAGGTGGAGGAATTGTATGATAATATCTCTAGTAGTAGTAGGATGTTACGGAAGTGATTATATCGGAACCGAATTCTGAAGCAGAGTTTTAAATTTGGTTTGTCGGAACCGGAACCGGAATCGGAGATGTAAGCAGAAGAGATATGTTTTAAGGGCACGTCTATGAAAATAAAATTACACACATTATTCAGCACAAGTATATTCGGTAAAAAATTTCTTTTCGGTAAAAAATGTCTTTGCCTTAACTGATAATTCGGTACCATTAACTGCATAAGTCGTCTGAATCCAATTCCTTCCACGAAACTGAAGGGAAGATCTTGTAAAGCAATCATTTCAGGGAGGTTTTCCGCGCGACAAGTTTAAACTTGTTCGTGTGCGCTGATTGCGGCAGCTAACTTCCGATAAAAATTTATCGGAGTCGAAGGTGCAAAATCAATCGGAAGATCCGAACTTTCGGAATCGTAATCGAACCTCCGTAATATCTCTAATTTCTAGAGCCGTGCATTCCTCAAAATTTTCATGTAAAATCTGTAAGCTTAAAAAGTAAGCATTTTAATAAGCAACCTAAAGGAGACAGTCCATTTCAGGCCGTCTATGTACACTATACCGTAAATAGCGAAAAATTTTGGGATTTTACTAAAAATACAATAAGAGAATAAATCCAACTAAGTGACTTGCTAAAAATAAAAATGCAATACCAATTTTCGATCATTTTACAAGATGGCGCCTTTCAACTAATTTAATGAGTTGAAATTAATGATGAATTATGATTAAATGTCATTCTGAAATGTGACTTAAGTCTTGAAATAATGTAGGTAGTCTGATATTTTTTGTTTATTCCATCCATATTCCATTTTCTGTATATATTACTCTACTCTATGGTTTATTCCGAGCTTGTTCGTGTATTTGTGAAATCGTGAATGCGTTTATTGTGTTTCTTTTGGATTACTTTGGCGATTTGTTTTTTTTATTTGGTCTTTGGATCTGTTATTACTTGTTTGACTCGGCTTTTGATTTATGGGCTTCATGATTTATGTGAGATTTTGATTTCCTTGATATCGGACATCTGTAAAATTACATTTCGAATCATTAGGTTGGTATGTAAAAACAGATGTTTCCTTAAGTTATTAAAAGCATTTGAATAACATGCTTCTGTGTGTAATCTGTTAACAATCAAAAAATAAATAATTATTTTCACTATAAGTTTATAATGGTTGCATAATATTAATATAATGAAATTATCTTTCAGTTCACCTGTTAAAACATATTGCACTGTTTAAAATGTGCTTCTGCAATAGAAGAAAATGAGCTATATTACATTGCTGGAGATTTTGGTCCAGAAATTATTACCATTCTTGAAAATCTAGGTCAATTGGTAAGAACGCACATACTTTAATCATAACAGATTACTTGGCAATATCTAGTCCAACGGATATGACAGTTTTTATATATTTCAGTATTTGATTGTTTTGTTTTAGATGGATGAGAATGGACCAGTATGTTCACAATGTTTTGCAAACTTATTGCAAGAATTGTCTGTTACACTATGTTAATATCATCTCACAGGATATTGACATATTTGCATGTAGTGAGACGAAATTCATAATTGCAGCATACAAATGCGTCGAAAATTGTAATGTTTTTTAATTAGTATTTTATTTTTCCATCAATTTGACAGATTTCATACTAGATACCATAATTTATTATTCAGTAGTTTTCTCATATTTAGGTTAGTTATAGCATCGCATTGGTTTAATAACTGTAATGATGTTATAATTGTGTAATAAATAAATAAATAAATAAATAAATCTGTTGGTACAGATCATTAAAATGGTCTTCAGCGCCTTAATGCCAATAGTACTAGTATATTGTGTGTTTGGTGTCAACGGAGACTGGGTAGCGGACGTTGTCACTCTGTTTCAGAGGGTCCTGAAAGATATTTTATGTCTGAGAGGATTTTTCCAAGAAAAGTTAGTATTTATGTTTATTTAAAGGTTTACTAATCTAAATATTAATCATCCCAGAAGTAAAAAAAGCATCATAAGTTCATTTTCTTTTGTGTAGAATTAGGGTTACAAAAAGGGGCACACAGTCCACCGAATGGTAAATGGATGATGTGGCCTATAAACATCTACATTCATTTTCGATTAATAATCATAATGCAGATGCGTTGTCAGCCCTGAGGACTATGAAAAAATGCCTCGTTTTCAGTAAAAATGATCTCCGGTTCTCTACACTCACTATACGAAACATAGCAGCTTAATGCCATTTCACGCTGGTATTCTTTGAGAGCGTGGACATTCTCCGGTCGAGCCGACCCATTATTTGCTGCACGTGGCTCTTTTTCTCTAGGATAAGGGTAACAAACGAGCACACAATCTACCTGATCGTAAGTGGTTTCTGTGGCCCGTAGACATCCTGATTACGAATTAAAATGCAGATGCGTTTTCACCCGTTAGGACAAAGCCGGAATGCGTCGTTTCCAATTAAAGGTGTCTCTGGTTTCATTAGTCAGCATTAAGTTTCTATTTTACATTGGTATTCTGTGAGAGCGTGGTCCTTCCCCAGTCGAGCCGACCCATTCGTGCTACAAATTAATATACTACTTATATAGCTACAGTATGGCATTACGTGGTGTGATAGGTATTATATTGTTACAGATACCTAAAAGTGCAGTGGTATGTCATCTTTGTTAGACAGAAATTCAACAAAGATTACGTAGACAAGGAGTTTCATATACCATTATTTAATACAATTGTACGTGTATAGTGTCTTCGGTCACTAGCCAACACACGCAGGCACTCAATACCAGATGGCTCAGAACAAAATGAATTTATAGCTAGGATTCATCCTAGAGAGGTTATATTTTATGTATTTTCTAAGTCTATATGTACTAAGTAAACATGCGTCTTTTTATTAATCTAACAGTATTATTAAACTTACTGTCTTGTTTTGAACAGGTATTTGAAATACTTTTCTAGTTTGAATTACTTGACAAATAAAAGTAGGAAAATATAAATTACTAGCTTTTGCCCGTGACTTTGTCCGTGTGTAATTTGGTTTAAAAATCGCTCGGGATCTCTGTGATTTTTCAGGATAGAAAGTCGCTTACAGGTCCTCAATTCAGGCAAAAATCACTATTAACCCAAAGGTCTTTTATAGGCAAACCAACAAACAAACACATTTTCGCATTTATATAATATTAATAAGGATATTTAACAAAGCTAATATTTTAAAAAATAATGAAGAAATAAAACATATTTATTTATTATTGGTGCCGCAAAAAACTAACTAAAGTAACATTAATCGTCTGTGACACCACCCAAAAGCTGAGCGTATTGCCTTGCATCATATATTAAAATTAGGTCACCTCCGATTAAACCTATGTTTGAAATTAATATATATATATATATATATATATATATATATATATATATATATATATATATATATATATATATATATAATAATGAATGCTGTATGTGCATTTATATATAATTAATCATTTAAAATATTCTTTATAATCCCCTACAGATTCCTTCTGGCGGATTCGTCTGTTATGCTTGCTATGTAGCAGCGTGTAGAAATGTGCAAAGAACTACCAATGTTGAGGAAGGGCAGCAAAATCCAGGACCTTCGTATCAACACTATGGAGATGACTGTGTGTAGTGTAAAATGTCTATATTTCAAAGGAACGTTCAAATTTTACATGATGTCCCTGAAAGGGATATAGTTGCACAAATAATTTATCCCATTGAGGTAATTAAATATGGTGTTTTCTAGATTTTATACAAACATTCTAATAATTATTTTACTTGAATAGTTTTGAGTTAAGCAATTTGTTTGTATGTATTATCATTGGTTCACATTTTTATTGTACATTATTAAACCATTGCCTGTCCACTACTGCGCATAGCTCTGTTCACAGAAAGTGAATGGCTTGAGCTTGGCAAGCTACACACACCTTTAAGATCTCTATTGAGAATGTTTACGTGTGCAGGTTTTCCTCTATGTTATTATTAAAGTAAATATATGTTATATAATGGCTTAATACATACATAGAACGCAAAGAACAGTAAGAAGTGCATGCCAGGGATCGAACCCAGTCCGGTACGCAATTCTAATTTCATCGAAAAGACGGCTGAAGTCTTAACCACTAAGACGATACATATACTGATATATTAGTATACCTACGATATGTCATATAAATATTAATTCACTAAGATATGTCATATATTAATTCACAAAGACGACTATCGCCCTTTATGGTCTATGGTTCATTTGTATAGTTTTAGTTTTTAAACATGTTGTTCATAACAAGTTACCTTTACTTAAATATTTTCTGTTTCAGTTACCAAAACACACCCACTTATGTGTTGATTGCTGGGTACATAAACAAGAATATGTGCAAATTGCTGAAGGCAGGGCAGTGCAACCTGAAAAACCAAAACCTTCGATAAGCCTGGTAGATGATTATAAGCATACATACACCAAATTTTAGTAGGCATTGTTTCGTTCCATTTTGTACGAATCCAGAGAGGCTCTTCTATTTTTTAAATTTTTGCAATCAATAAAATATATGTCACAGAAAATTGCAGAATTCGTGTTGAACACCGAACTACTTACAATTGGAAGTTTTAGAAGAAAATGAATTCTCAAGTAATTTCATACGGGAAGAAATAAAATCAATGTTAAACCTCAGCCTATGTCAAGGTTAAACCAATAATAATTTGGAGTTTGGAAAGATTTATGAATTCGACGAGAACCTCCTTAATACTGGACTGGCATCAATAAAAAAAATTATTTGAATATTTTAAATCTCATTAGCATTGAGTTCTAAATTGCAAAAAACGGCGTTAGGAGAATATTTAATTAAAATAAGAACAAGGGACTCCCATGAAAGAAACTCCTCTGTTAGGTATTAGTAAAACCAAACTTATCAGGTTACTTCATACAGCTCTAGAAGCTTTAATAAGTTTGTTTATACCTCACAACTTGGGACTTAATCATCATCATCATCATTACAGCCCTTCACAAGTCCACTGCTGAACATAGGCCTCCCCCAAGTAATGGCACAAAGCACGGTCCTGAGCCACCTGCATCCATCGACTTCCTGCATGTCTTACCAGGTCGTCACTCCATCTAGTGTAGGGCTCAGCTTACTAATCCGTTGGGCTATGTCGGTCACTCTGGTTTTACTGCGGATATCCTCATTTCTGAGTCTATCACGCAGAGAAACTCCGAGCATAGCCCTCTCCATAGCTCGCTGAGCGACCTTGAGCGTCCTCATACGGCCAGCAGTGAAGGACCACGTCTCTGATCCGTAAGTCATCACTGGCAACACGCACTGGTTGTAAACTTTAGTTTTCAGAGATTGAGGTATACCTGACGAGAAGATGTGTAGTATTTTCCCGAACGCTGCCCAGCCGAGTTGAATCCGTTGATTGACCTCTCGGTCGAAGTTGGACTTACCTAGTCGGACTATTTGTCCCAGGTAAACGTACTCGTCAACAACTTCGAGCAACTACCGGCATAGGTGTGACATGGACATTAAACATGATCTTTGTTTTGTCCATGTTCATCTTAAGACCTATCCGTTTGGTAGACACCATTGAGGTCATTGAGCATAGTGCTAAGGTCCTCCAGCGATTCTGCCATAAGGACTATATCGTCGGCAAATCGAAGGTGAGTGATGTACTCGCCATTGATGTTAATACCGTATCCTTTCCAGTCCAGTAGCTCGAAAACGTCTTCCAACGCAGCGGTGAACAGTTTCGGGGATATAACGTCACCCTGTCTTACACCTCTCTGCAATTGGATAGTTTTCGAACTCTGGTTCTGTACTCGGGTAGCCATCGTAGCCCTACTGTACAAACACTTCAGCACCTCTATATATCGACAGTCCACTTGGAACCGCTGAAAGGACTGTAGCACCGCCCAAATTTTAACAGAATCAAAGGCTTTCTCATAGTTCACATACGCCAGGCAAAGTGGCAGATTGTACTCTTCGATCATCTGTATAATCTGCCGCAGGGTATGTATGTGGTCTATGGTACTGAAGCCTTTTCGGAAACCGGGGTGTCCGGGAGGGTGGAAGGCGTCGAGGCTGCGGGCGAGTCGTTTCGTAATGACGCTCAAAAACAGGACGTAGACGCGGCTCAGAAGGGAAATCGGTCTGTAGTTCTTCAAGAGAGCGTTGTCGCCTTTCTTAAAGAACAGGACTACCGCACTTCTGCTCCACGCCTCCGGAGTAGTGCCACCATGGAGGACGGAGTTGAAGAGCTTCAGAAGGACTTCAAGTACCGGTGTTCCACCCGCTTTCAGAAGCTCCGCTGTAATTCCATCCTCGCGCGGGGACTTGCCGTTTTTAAGGTGCTGGAGAGCCATTCTAATTTAGCTCAGACTGACGTCCGGGATATCATCAGAATAGTGTCGGGTAAGACTTGCTCTTGGATCGTTACTCACACTTGCGTGTGGCTCCAACGATGAAGTGTACAGCTGCCCATAGAACCTCTCAATCTCACTTAAAATCTCAAGTGTCTCGGAAACGACGCTGCCACACTTAGTCTTCAGCTTTGACAGTTGGCTCTTTCTGGCAGACAGATCTCTGGCAAAGACTTTGGAGCCCTGGTTCCGCTCGATCTCTTTTTTAACACGAGCAGTATTAAAGTTGCGTAAGTCTCGCCGCATGCATTTGGAGATCTGTCTGTTCAGTTGCCTGTATGCTGTCAAATCTGTTGACGATTGCAGCCTCATCGCCCGTCTAACAGCCATGAGATTCACGAGTGTGCACGCTTCACGCGGCACGCTTGCACACCCACATAGCTCCGACACGCATGGACATGTTTCCATGAGCTTGTCATACATATCGAAATCCGCTGCATTTTTTTTAAGCAATCTTCTAGGCAAGCGGTTACGTAACTCGAGCTGAAAAGTCTCGGGATTCTGGATTAGAGCACGAGGGGGACGGAGCGTTGACTTCATTAGACAAGACCTCTCCAACTTAACGTTTAGGTTCAGTGTGCCTCTAACCATTCGGTGATTTCTGCCAGTTTTCACCCTTGCGATCACTGAGACATCACTGAACAGTTGGAGTCCGGTCGTCATAATGAAGTCAATCTCATTTTTTGTCGAACCGTCGGGGCTCGACCAGCTCCAATTCCTGTGGGGCCGCTTCTGGAAGAAAGAGTTCATCATAAAGAGTCCCTCTTTCTCCATAAATTCAGCCAGCTGCTGGCCCCTACGGTTCCAATGCCCTACCCCAAATTTCCCTAACTTCAGCTCACCGCCTTCTCTTGTGCCTAGTTTTGCGTTGAAGTTTCTCATCAACACCGTTTAGTGGGTTTTGGAGGAATGCATGGCTCTAGAAATATCCTCATACATTTCCTCCACCTCCTCATCGGGATGTGCCGAGGTTGGTGCGTAGACCTGTATGACCTTCAGCGAATACCGTTTGGTAATTCTGAGTATCAGGTACGCGACCCTCGTCGACACACTCCCAATGTTTACAACGTTGTTGACGAGAGAGTTGTGGACGATAAATCCGACACCTCCTTGGGACAGATGGTCGCCCTCCCGGTGATAGAACAAGTTGCCGGACTCGAGGATTACCGTGTCCTCCCCCTCTCTTCGGACCTCAGATAATCTAATAATATGCCAGCGCACCTCTTTTTCCAGTTCCAGTATCTTCTCGTCAGTCCTCAGGGTGCGTGCGTTATACGTTGCCAGGTCGAGTCGTCGTAGGTGGCAACCGAACCTCCACCGGAGATTCTTAGCACCCCCTGCCCCGCCGTTACCATGGTCGCCACCGTAGCCAGGAATAGCGGGGCCGCCGGGGACTGGGGGCCGTTTATTTGCGTCGTTGCTCATGGTATTTGCCATAATTGCCACGCTTGGCGAGCGGGTTGGCAACCGCAGTTTTTAATTTTGTTATTGTTGTTATTAGGAATATGCTGCTGCCCATCTCCTTTCTGTGTCCCTCTGTCGCCTCTTACGACACCCACGGGAAGATATGGGGTAGTGGATATTCTTAACCGCCACTACACTTACTTGGACTTAATCATATCACTAGAAATGATCTGATAAGCAGGAATTAATTAATACCTGAAGGCTTGTTCGGTAACAGAAAAGAGAGGAAACCAATTGTCATGTGCGACGGGACCTATATTTACCTACAAAAATACTCTAATTACTTTATTTTCAGAAAAAAAAAACATAAAGCTTGCACAAATATCGCAATATAGTAAAACCAGTTTTAATAGTAGCTAGTAATGGCTATATCCTAGTCTTTTTTGGCCCTTATCCGGCAATTTCAGTATTATGAAAGCCTTATTCCAAAATGAAAATGGTGATTTTACGTAATTAAATGGTGATTAAACGTCATTGAAGTTTTAAGAAGAATTAAAGTCAAGAAAATGACGTTTTCATTTTGGATATAGGCTTTCGAGATGCTATTCCTTTTCTCGAAGAATTAGGCTATGTAATACATAAGCCAGAGAATATTGAAGGAGGAGAGACTCAATTGTTGACAACGAATGCCAATAAATCCAGATGTGCGACCTTGTGTAGATGGGTGGTAGAGGTAGTAAATTTAAGATTTAAAAGAGATTTTAAATTATTCCGACAGGACCACTTCAACGTAGCTGCCAGCAATCTAATGGAGGATTTGCGTATTTGTGCAGCTATGTATAATGCTTTCTATCCAGTAATTGTTATAGGCCGGATGACCAGATGACTAGAAAGGTTACATATGCAAAATGGATTGGCAGAACTATTGTAGCCAATAGGACCAAAACAGATACCAGACCCAGTTCACTAGAATTGACGGACAACTTCCAGAATTAGATATTTTTCCTGTAATGATCATGTTTGATCTTAAAATTTTTGGATTGGGGATATTCCAAATTAGGGAGGCAAGAAGCTATTATGGGGAACATATAAGACAGCATGGTTCATTTCAGGTGGAAATATCGAATGATCTGGAAGCTGTGACTCAATTAATACCATCCCAACAAGACTCTGTTTTAATAAATAAGCCGTATAAAGTCTCGCCTTCACTCGGGCAGAGTTTATTATACATATATACTGTTGGCGAGACAAAGGACAAGTTATATTGAGATGATTGCAGGTTATTATAACAATTTCATTTCTGGACAACGGACAGGGGGTTGCTGTGCCCACATAATGACCATTGTCTGGTATTTGGGATGGGCTGGCTATCAAAATTCCATAACCGCACCAACCTCATTTCTAGATGACATTTTAGTAATAGAGGATTTTGAAGTAGGATATATAAATAATAAATAAATCTGTTATATTTATGTTACCTTAAGTAGCCACTCAATAATTTTTATGCTTTACTTTACAGCTACACCTTTGTTATGACATTATCCAGGCTTAAAATGTCTGTCAAGGCTCAAGGCGTAACTTTGACACGTTGAAGGCCTGATATATAATTATATCTTAGCACTTTTAACTTCATTCTGCAGGCCAGATAGAAAC